CCGGTGGTTCCCAGATAGTGGTCGCCTTGTACCCTTTCTGCCTTAGCTGGCTACTGTTTACTCAGGATCCTATTCAAATGGCCTGAACTCAAATGCCAGGGCGGGATTGGGGTGTGTGTTTGGGCGGGGTGGGGGAGAGGGGCAGGATCACCTGTCTCCCTGGAAATAGATGATTTTAAAACCAGTGAAGATAAGGGGGACATTTTATTTTTGTGCATGGGCTACGGGGTTGCAGGATAATTGTCCCATGGACAAGGACAACCAGGCAAGGCCTCTGAAGCATGCTGTTGTTTTTTTCCTGTGTTCTACGATAGTTTTCTTTTGTTCTCATTCTCTACATATCTACCTAATGCTCTTCCCCTATGTATCTGCTTTTGTAAAAGAAACACATGCACATAGCTGAAAAACCAAACAGCACTGAAAGGTGTGCAATTTGGAGCAGTGGTCTCCAGCCCCATTCCTCCACGAACCCCTTCTCCCCCAGGGTCTACCCCTTAGCCACTTTGAATTCTTTCGGCTGTTTCTTCTGGCAGTTATTAAAAAAAATGTTCATCCTCTTCATTGATTTACCAATGTTAGAAATTACCTATTGACTGCATGTGATAAGAGGTGATGCTTCTCAGCTCTCCTAATCTTTACCTCTCACCTTCCCTGTACAGTTATGTCATTATTTTCAGTTAAGTAAATAACATTAGATCTTTATAATCGTATAAATGCAGTTCAATGCAGGGCCAAGGAGGGAATTGCTACAGCACTTCCTTCCTTTGTGCTTTTGATTTTTCTTGTACTTGGGGTTTATGTGGCTGTGAAGAATCTAATTTGGTAATCTCACACGCTCCCTGTACGGGGCTTGTTTCAGGGAGCGCAGCAGAGCAGCAGCTTCTAGCGGCTCCATCTTTAAATCCACCGGGGGTCCATGCCAGGCCAGGCTCTCGCACAAGCAGAGGACCAGAGCAGTCATCTCAGCCCGACTTGGGACTGTCCAATGGACAAGCTTTGCCTGGGGCGTCCTGCTGGCCTGGGTGAGACCTTCTCAGAGCTGCACTGTGGTCTGAGGCTCTCCTGACCCATCCCCCATCCTTCCTCCTCTCCCCTCACAGGTGTCAGACCTGCAGCATGGCTGGTCTAAGGGCTCTCCTGCCGACTCCTGCTCCCTCGCCGGTTATTCTTCACAGGCATTTCCCCCAATAAACCTCTTGTACATCTCATTCCACCTTGGTGTTTGCTTCGTGGAAGACCCCGACACGTGCTCAAAGAATGAATCAGGGCTCTACCTGTGAGTATTCTGAGGGTCGGTGTATCTGAAGTAGTACCAAGCAGAATCAACAAAGGTATCCATCGTGTCTGTCTCTCTCTTGGCTGCCCCTTTGCACCTAAGAAATAAATGAAGTTCATCAGTTGGTTTCTTTTTAAATATCAATGCAGTTTTCCACCAGCTTTTGAGAAAGCTATGGCAATCAGTATGAATTTAAAATGTCATTAAGAACAATGCCACATCATGAAAAGATAATGCAGAGAAAGTTCTCTTTTTGTATCGTGCCGTACAAGATGTTTTAAAGACATTTACAGAATAAGAGTTTCAGTCTTCAACAATTAAAAGCCTTATTTTCCACCTCTCTGAATTTAGCCTGGGAGAAAATCTAGCAACCTAAAAGGAGCACACAGGACGAGGTGTCTCTTTTGTGCATGAACTTCCATTGTAGGCACGTCAGGGCTGTCTTCAGCCAAACCCTACGTTACAACGCTTAAGAGGCAATCAACTGATGAAGAGAAGTTGAAAACCAAATGTAGCAAAATGTTGCTCTGAAAAATGAACTTGAGCTTTTTTTTTTTTTTAAAGTCTCTGCTCTTGGCCAAGGGGTGCAGAAGTTCCGTGCGGTGACCTGAGGAAGATAAGTCACCTCTGAGGCCCAAAGGCAACGAGTGGTGTGCCGGAGCCAACGCACACCAGCTTGTGAGCATCAGCTGGGACCACCTCCAGCCCCCCACTCCGTGACAAGCGACGTCAGGTTGGTAGCCTGAAATTATCCCCTGGTGGGAGCATATGTACCACAGAAATCGGCAAACACTATAGACGCGAAGCCCCCTGCCAGAGAACTCCTTAGTACACATTTACCAACACACCACTGCCTAAACACAGGTTCCTAACAGAAGGGTGAGGACAGAAAGTGAATGGAGGTCCTTGGCGTGTGAGGGGCTGAAGAGAAAAAGCAATCCTCGTCCTAGGGATGGACACGCCTGGGGAGGACTCAGGCTCCACAAGGGCCTGAATGCTGGACCAAGTGGAAGCACATTCCTAGGGTGGTGGGCCTGTAGGACTGAGAGAACCGGTGCCAAAAGCCGTAACTTCTAGGTACCCAAGAGAGGGCGCTCTGCGTCAAGCCTAGTCTAGGAGGGGGCTCGGCTTCCTGGAAGACCCCTCCAGGCCTGAATCAGCAGTGGATGGGTTGAGTCAGCTGTTAACAGGGACCTTTTGTGGCAGTGAGAAGCCACAGCAGAACACAGCTCAGACTCCAGGGTCTCCCTCGAGGCATAAAAGCTGACCACTCACCCCTCCAAATACCGCCCCTTGCGGGTTCTTGGAGGGGCAGGAGCCCCCACGAGGAAGTGATGAATCTTCTGCTAATTTTGTATGAGAGGGCTTGAATCGGTTTTTAATTTTTCAATAAAAGAAGAGTTGCATTTATATCTCGCATCTGTGAAGCAGTTCATACTGGCTTTACAAACATCACCAAAGGAAACAGCCACTACCCACCGCCCACTTATTCAATGGAAACGGCTGAGCAGAGAGACAGGCGCCCCCGATCTGGGGGAGCTCTGGGACTCCCAGGGTCCTTCTGCATGTTAGCCAGGGGGCTCCCACTGGGAGCAGTGGTGGGCCTGGGACTAGGAGCCATTCAGAGAGCGGCCCCAGGGGATCCTGTTTCCTACCCCCACGGCTGCTCTAAGACACCGATCCCAACAGCGCATCTCTACGGCATCTCTACGTCAAAGCCAGGTCTTTTATTTGGAGAGCAACCAACTAGAACACAGATGCTATTTTGGGAAGTAATTAGAAGATAAAGGTTGCTTCTTCTCCCTCACCATGAGTGCGCGCACCCTTAGAAGTTAGGAAGAAAATGCAGGACTTGACTGAGAAGAGGACTAAAAGCTGCCATGCTGATTTTTTCAATGGTCACGTGGGACTTGAAGACAAGCGACATGTTCCACTGCTGACACTAAAAGCTGGGTAACACAGAAGATGCGGCTTGGTGTTATCATGATTAATTATTAGCTCCAATGGTAATAATACTAACACTGGGTAGCAGGCCCTAAGCCCAGTGCTTCACAGGCACTATCTCATTTAATTCCCAGTAACCCTGGGGATTATGAGGTAGGTACGACTCATGTCCCCCTTTTGCAGATGCGTAACTAGGGTTCAGAGAGGTTAAGAAATCCGCCCCAAGTCTTGGAGCTCAACAGCAACGAGTCCACATGTGTTGGGCTCTGGTGCCTGTGGTCCTTAGCGCTGTGCCATCCCTCCTGGCACGCTGGCTCGGTGGCCCTTAGCCCTGGGTGCACGTTAGAGCCTGACCAACATCAAGGCCTGGGCTCCGCCCTCAACGAGTCTGCAGCCAGGCAGGAAACCTCATTCCCACTGAGGCCCTAGCGGCTGTCACCGGTGCACTGAAGGCCACCAACGTCTCCGGCATGGAGGCCCTGTCACTGCTTATCAACAGGGTGTGCTATTTTCTTCCTGGAGCCCATTTCTACCTTAAAATGGCCCAGAGCTTCCAATGTCCCTGCCTACAAGCCCCGTCTCAAAAGTCAAGACTATTCATGTGAGGACCTGGCGAGTCCTTGGTAGGATGGCAGTAACACGTCCATTTACTGAGAGGTTGCTGGGTAGGATTATCACTGTGTAGGATTACCACTGTGTGGTAACAAAGTCTTCCGAGCAGCCCTTCAAGGGGATTATTTTAGTTCCTGATAAGGGAACTAAAGCTCAGAGAAGTCAAGTGACTTTCCCAAGGCCACACAGCAACTTAACAGGCAGGGCCCAGACCTGAATCCATGACTGTCTGATCCCCAGCCTGGTGTGTGGTTACCTAATTACCAACCTCGTAACTCAGCTCTGTGCTGACAGAGGACTAAATCACTTTACACACTCTGATTATGACCTATAAATCTGAGAAAAATGGCTTTTCCATCGAAGGAAGGAGGAATAGACTGGGGCTTGGTATCGGTTATTTATTTGTGTCATCAGCTGGTATGGCATCATAAAAACTACATTTGAGACATGCCAGTGAATTGACAGAAAAACGTAATTCCACTTCCAAAATAAAAAGAAAAGAAATGTGGTGGGTATCCGTGTATTGAAGAGCGAACTCCCTGAGCAAACTGGCTGTGGTAGCTTCTGTGCTGCTACCTGTGATAAAATCTCCACTGTTATCCGTCATTAGACAGGGAAACTGTAAGGCGAAGAGGAGAAAGCATCTTCTCTCATCTCCAAGGAACTCTTGGGAATATAAGATGGAAGAAGGTGGTCTTTTAGGAAGCTGTGATGAAAATATGCAGCTTTTCCCTCAGTTGGGTCAGATGCTTCTGGGGAGGATGTGAACTAACCTGCTGCTCCCCCAGCTCAGAGAGGAGAGGAGAGGGCGCCCGTCACGGTGGCGGGCCCCAGGCTCCAGCACCTTCTCTCAAAGGTCCCCAAAGACCTATAGTATTCTTTCCAGCATGGTGGGAGTCCCGGAAGAAGGGAGCAGACTCAGCACCAGGAGGGACGGGGGACTCTGAAACCCCAGCAGGGTGCTGGGGCCACAGACAGTCTCGGCGGGGGCCCGTGGTTCCTTACCTGGGGCAGGAGCAGTTCACCCACTCGGAGGCCGTGGCCAGTGGGGAGCCTCCCTTGCCAGTGAAAGATGTGATGCTGGGTAAGGTCACGGGCAAGTCCTCCAGGGGCACAGGTACGGGGCCGCAGGCCGGGCAGTGCACCATGGGGATGGGTGTGCCCCAGTACCGCTGCCTTGAGATCAGCCAGTCCTTCAGTTTGTCACTTGTCACATCTCCACCCACTTTCTTCCTCTGGGCTTTCTGAGTCAAGGCTAGAAACGCATCCTGCCGGTTCATACCTGTGAACTGAGAGGGGAAGGAGAGAGGTCCCATTTTTCCATTCAAAGGAGCAAGTCACCACCCCCACACTGCCCCCAGGGACGGCTGTGCTTAGCTGTGGTTCTGGGCACGGCCTCGTGATGGCGCTCGTGAGCCCTAGGGGCCTCGGCCCGTGGACCCCTTCCTCCCTGAGATACTATTAAAAATTATATTTTATGACTATGTTGAATAAAGAGGAATATAAATTTTAACCCTAAAAGTTCACTTTTTTCCTTCTGATTTTAAGAGACATTAAAGCCTTTTGGGGGCCCCCTAAAAGTACTGTGCTTTAGGCACTGTATCCCCTGGGACATCTGATGGGTAAAGTGGCCCCGGTTCTGGGGACCTCCTGAGCCCTGCCTACGGAGATAATCAAACATCAGCATTTAGCTGCCAGTAAACAACTGCATGATATGTATTTTTTATGAGTACTCCTCTGCTGGGGGGGAAATATCCAGAAAAGAAAAACTCAGAATTATCCAAAAGCAGAAGGAATTCAGTCACGCAGGGCAATGAACTGGGCCCCAGCCTGAAAAACCAGAACCACTCATTTTCCCCTTAGATGCTTTTCTTTATAGAAAGCAGGGCAGAACACTAATAGTAGAAAAGAGAAACGCTCTTTTCACCTGACGCTTTTCAGGGAACAAAACTAATGAGAAGAATCGGGCCAGCCTGGCCTGCTGACAGCCCGGATCGTGGGTTCCCTGGAACGGGTTCAGTGAGGGTGGCCTGCGCACCTACTCTGTGCCAGGCTTGTGCTGGGCATTGGGGCACAGAGATAAATCGGGTCTGCCCCCTGCCCTCAAGGCGCCTCCAGTCACAAGGAGGAGGAATGAGGAGGTACAGCTTTGCTTATGCAGAGCAGCTGTTTTCACTGAGGGCCTGAAGTGTCTGCGGCAGGACAGGGCTGTCTGCCCAGGAACCTCTTACAGAGGGAGGGCCCCTTTTGCGCCCTGCACTCCCCCTGTCAATACACAATTACAGAGCAGAAGTCACAAGCTCTCTGAAAAATCCGTCTTCTCCACACATCACTGTTTTTACACGGCAGAAGCTCATGGATGAAAGAGTTTTCCTGGGAGGGGTTCTTTTTTCTCCAGCAGAAGAGACCCCAGATAAAGTTTCGTTACTGTGATTGATCATCATGCTATTCTAGGATTGGGTTCAACTTAAGAGTTGATAAACTTCTAGATCGTGAAAAAAGAATATTATTTTGTTTTCACAGATGAAGAAATGAGGCTGCGAGACTGTTAGGGGTGGGGATGAGCAAAATGGCAGGCTGTAATTTGCACCTGCAGGAAAACGTCTCATCAGATGCATGTCAAGCTCATGAATAGGGAAGTGAGGTCGTAGGCCTGGGCCACAGGGCACCCACCTCAGCGGAGCCGCTCAGTCTCTCTGTGCCATCAGGCATCCTTTCGATGACTTCGCAGTAGGACAGGCCCAGGGCTTGGGCCAAGGTGGTGTCCTCTGAGCTGGTGCTGGGAATTCCTACGGAGAGGGGAAGAAACACGACATGTCTCCTTTGCAAATGCCCCGATCACAATGACTGACAGCACTGACACTCAGCTTTAGCTTCTCCAAGGAGACTCTGTCTTTTTCAGGTAGAGAAGTTACAGAAGCACATGACATTTACTGGGGAAAAGGAGAAGGGTTGGAGAAACCCACCACCCTAACACGACCACTCGGCCATATTGGTGTTATTTCCTCTGAGCTTTTCCCTTTGCTTAGTGTCTATTTAAAAACAGTGGTAATTCTAAAATATACAACTTGGGGTGCTTTTGGTCACTGAAACAATAAATCACGAGCATCTGGCGTGATTTGAGCTCCCTCAGGGACAGAGGACAGTGGCGTTCTCCTGAGAAGCGGGGCTGACTCCGCCAGCATTTCCTAGCACCCTAGAAACATCCACTCATCAGGAAGCCAAGGGCTGGCAGCGGTGCTGTTTCACACTGTGCTTTGTTCCCAGAGGCGGCGATACATTCTGAGGAGACATTTATTCTTCAACCCACACATGCCCTTGAGGAGACGGCGCCGAGCAGGAGTAAATCACTCACGCAGAGGGCCAGGCCTGCTGTTTCGGCTTCCGCCGTTCCCAGCAGGTCTCTCAGGGGCTGGCTCTGGAGGCAGGGTTCCTCCTCGGCATTATTAACATTCCGGACTTTCCATGGGGGCTGCTCTGTGCACTGTGGGATGTTGAGCAGCTGCCCTGGTCTCCACCAGTAGCACCCCCGCCCCCCAGTTGTGACAGACAAAAATGTCTCTAACATTGGGCCGGCCGAGTGGCGCGACGGTTAAGAACTCGCTTGGGATGCCAGAGGGCCCCGGTTCGGATCCCACATATGAGGGCCAGTGACACTGCCCTCTACAGCTAAGATGCTGAACAACAGCTCAACCTGGAGCTGGGCTGCCGTGAGTCGCCGGCGACGGCGTGGGCTGCAGTCCCTGTGGCAGTGGATTGCCATGGGCTACCGTGTGTGGCCAGCAGCCAGCGTGAGCGGCCAGCAGCCGCAGTGAGCGGCCGTCCAGAAGCCGGCGACTGATCTGCCTCACCCGGGAAGAGCGCAATGATGGTGCCAACTTGGGGCCAGTGAAGCAACATCCTTCACAACTAGATTGAAGAACAAAACGACAGCAACTTGTCTGTTCCCCTTTCCCCAATTCCCCAGCACTGTTCCCATCCCCCCAATTCCCCAATAAAAAATCTTAAAAAAAAAAAATGTCTCTAACATTGCCACATGTCCCCTGGTGGCCAAATTGCCCCTGGTTGAGAACTCCCGCTGCAGGGCCCATTGTCAAAACTGCTATCCTCCTGTGGACACAATACATCTTGCAGCAACTGAGAGCGACAAAACTAAGGGTAATACACAAAATGCTTCAGTCGGGTTTTGAAAACAGCCTCTCTGGAACATTGCCTTAAAAGGGTGATTGCGTGTTTCGGAGACATGCTCTCCAGCTCTGTGGGGAGATGGAAAGTTCTGTGGTGTTCCAGCTGAGATTACTGACAGAAAGCACCACATGAGGCAGATAAATGTTCACAGTGGACTTGAAGAACCCTGACGAGTGAGGACAAATGGCAAGCAGTAACTAGTACCAAAAAATGCTCGTGACCAAGAAGGGAGAAGAGTCACTTACCAGAAGTGCATGGTTTGGAGTAACTAGGAGTAATATTCAGATGCAGATATCGTGACACAAAATTTATCTGACCACAGATAAAGAATGTTCTGGGCCTCGGGATGGTCACACAGAACTCAGGAGAATATGCCCTGTTTGTAACAGGCAGGTGACATGGCCAAAGCACCACTTTATCTTTTGTTTATTTCTGTTTCTGTTCTTGGAGGGCAAGAGGCAATAACTCAGAAAATGTTACTTATGTAACTGTGGGAAATCAAGACAACAGGAAAAATGATTTTCCAGGCATACCTAAAAAGTCAGGTTTTTTTTCCTTCAGAACTCTCAATATTGTGTCAGTACTGTGACTCAAAATACCAAAAGAAAAGGAAAAAAGCCACATCAATAAGGGCTTCCTTTATTGTTTATCTTGGCTAGTTATAGTAATGAATTTAACTAACTATAAACTTTAACTAACTAATTTAACTAACTAACTATAAACACAAAAGCAGTAGAAGGAATTACTTCCTTGAAGCAACATACTTTCTAGGTTTAAATTTCCAGAAGAGAATGACTTGGCTGGCTTAATATATTTTTCTGTGTTGGTGTTTCTTCAAATCACTTTGTCAGAAAACGGATCTGAGAATTGTGAGGAAAAAAAACATGCTTTTGATAAGAAATGCTATTTCTTCTGTGTGCTAGGAAATAGAGTGTGGAAATAACTTTCTCTGCAGGGTTTTGGCACTTTGGAGACTGGCTAGAATCTACAGTAGGAACACTGAAAAGGGAGCCACTCGGGCAGTTCCTGAGGGCAGACCTTGGGCAGGGCCATCGCAGGTTGTTATCCCCTGGGGACAGTCACAGACTTCCTGTTGGGTGAGGATCGTTTAGAACTCTCACAAAAGAGTAAGGCTGCCAAGAATATCCAATTTACAGTTCTAAATAAGCCTTCAATTTTACTGCTGTTTCATGATCCTTTTCTTGAATAGCTCCTTGGGAGTTCACCTCCCCCACAAAGTCCTCACCAAAAACCCAGCCCACACCGATGGTTTGTGCTTTGAACCCTCATCTCAGCAGCTGCTGTTGGTTCTAGGAGTCCTGAGACTGGGCAGCTGAGTTGTACTGTTCCCCATGTCAGAGGTACAAGTCTCATGAACTGGACCTACTGGCAAGATCCATGGGCCAGACATCCTCTCCTGCTCTGGACAGCAGCTAGCAAGGTGCAACACACTTCATATGCTTTCAGAATGTAGTCGTTAGATAAGGGACGTTCGTTTTCACAAAGAGGCAAAAACAGATCATGGAGCCAACAATCAGCTCTTTCACTTGGCGGCAACGGACTCGTGTTCTGCTTTGAAGCCTGCTAAGTACACTATCCCGATTACATTTTAATAACTGCTTACCTATTTTTGAATCCAGTGAGCCCTCAAAGTCAGCTTTGGCCAAGATAACAACAGGGACCTCCTGCTGGGTGAGCAAGTTCACAGCGGTCACAGGCGTGAGGCAATCTGAAAACGAGAGCAAAGACCTGTGGCCGCCAGTCCGCTGGGGTCCCTGAATCTCAGCAGAGACAGGTGAGAAAAATCAGCATTAGACCTTCCGTGTTTTGTGCTAGTTGCTAAAGAATTTGTTCTTTGAAGGTACTAACAGATCATTCACACCAGTGGGAAATCAAAAGATGAAACGAATACATGAACGTGTTCATCCAAACTAATAACCAAAGAAGTGAAAATGGCATTTTTATTTTCCAGATGGTGGAGAAAAGATGGTCCCACCACCCCCTTTTCCTTTTGAAAAATACCTCAAATATACAGGAGAATGAGCAACACAGAAATTGATCTATGGTATAACTAGGAGACGTCTGGACTTCCAAACCATAACCCTGAAAGATGGAAGTGGATAGAATAGAAGATGCCTGAGCAGAGAGATTTCCAGCCACACAAAGACTACACGGTTTCTTCCCACATACCCTTCCTCAGAAGAAACGGAGAGTGTGTTCCAGCAAAATGAGAGTAAGTCAAGAAAGAGACAGACATGGGATCCAGGAAACAGAGGGTCCAACAAAGGAAAGAGATTGGGTATTTGCAGAACAAAGAAGGGAATCCTATCACGACAGATGTGTAGTGGAGGCCTGGCGTGTGAACTGTCAGATGTGAGCAGGACAGGGCCCCAGGAAGCATCTTCAGGATAAAAAGGGAATCAATACATTATCCGGCAGATTGGAATGTGTAGAAAACTGTACTGAGAGGCGTTCAAAGAGCTTCTAGGAGGGTGTGGGAAGACTTAATCAGAAATTCAAAGAACACAAAGCAAATGAAAAAAAATGATGACATATGAACTTCGGGAAAAATAAAGTTATATAAAAAGGAAAATGTAATCCAGTATACTTGGCTCAGTTGAGAACAATATTTATGTGGTCATAATAAAACACTTAATTTGAAACTATCCAAACAGTGTGTCATCTTAAGTGAAGCTTGTTACAATTACTGCAGTGGGGAGACAAGCCAGGCAGCCATGAATCTTCGCTGGAAGCATGAAGACCCAAATAAAGTCCCAGAGGAAGAAGGGAGGGAAGGCTAAACTCGGGCAGTGAGTGCGCTTGAGCTTATTGTAACATCAGCAATTAACAACAGTTATAATTTACAAACTCTTACTATTTACCCTTGCCATGTTTTAAGGCTTTATATAATTATCTAAAAGATGTTTTACAACCCCCAAAGTTAAAATAAGCCTAGGGATTAGGATTCATTTTTCAAAGAGGTCAAAGAGAGGCTCTGTAGGCATCTCAGCCAGCTCTGATCTTCTTTCCTGTTGACTGTCAGGAAGACAGGATGGGGTACGGTGGGGACAGACTGCGCTGCAACCCACATGGGTCTCTACGGCTGAGGTTCAGCCAGCACCCATGGTACCATGGCTGGGAGGCACCTGCTGCCCGAGCTGCTTCAGGGCTGACACATGTCAATTATTTCTGACCCCATACTATCCCATCTCAAAGAGGAGGTGTGCACGTGTGAATTCTGCAATTATGATACAATGTTATTAGGAGGATGGAAGGTGAGGGATGATGAAGTTAAGAGTAAAAGTCACTAGATGACTAGAAGTGGTGAATTGAGAGACAGCGATATAGGCATATTACAAAGACACAGGCAGGCGTCTACCAGTGAAGCAGCTGTGGCACAGACTCCACATCTGACTCCCCCTCTGATTCAGCAACAGAATGTTTAGCTGGACACACGGCTGCATAGCTAATGGCAGCATTGCCCAGTGCCCCTGCGTGCGGCCGCGGAGCACGCGCAGAAGCAACTTCTAGTTCATGCTGTCAGAGAAGGAGCGACCACGCCCTTCTACACGCTCCTCCCACCCCCGTCTTCCTTGCTGCGATGCAGATGAACTGCAGACCATCTTAGAACACACGGCTAAGGGCAAGGGCCAAGGAGGGCCGAGAGGGAGACACGGAAAGAGCCGTGGTCCTGACTGCCGCCCAAAGCAGACTTGTCATTCGCACTCTGAGTTTCACGTGAGCAAGAAAGAAACACCTGCCTTTTAAAATCACTGTTTCTCTAGGGCTCTGTCATAGCTACCAAACTTATATACTAAGAAACACATACTCAAAACAATTAAAAGTAGTTGGGTAGTTACTATTGTTGCTAGTAGTACTTTTGACTTTTCATGTAATATACATATATCACTTGGATTTTAAAAAACACAAATTAATTTTTAAAAAGAGAGATGGAAATTAACCTTGAAGTAGTATCATTTTATATCTGGTAAGCTAGCAAACACGGTTGGAAGGGTAACATCAACGTTTGTGAAAGTGCATTGAAATTCATGTATCATTGGATATGGCACCATAAACAGATGTAGCCCTTTCAGAAACCAATAAAAGCAACATGTAACAGGAACTAGAAAATGCTCATAACCTCTGACCCAAAAAATCCCACTCTTGGGAAAGTCTCCCAAG